CCCCATCTGCCTGCTCTGGGCCCCCCATCCGCCTGCCCTGGTGCCCCCCATCCGCTGCCCTGGGCCCCCCATCCACCTGCCCTGGGCCCCCATCTGCCTGCCCTGGGTCCCCCATCCGCCTTCCCTGGACCCCCCATCCACCTGCCCTGGGTCCCCCATCCGCCTGTCCTGGGCCCCCATCCGCCTGTCCTGGGCCCCCATCCACCTGCCCTGGGCCCCCATCCATCTGCCCTGGGCCCCCACCTGCCTGCCCTGGACTCCCCATCTGCCTGCCCTGGGCCCCCATCCGCCTGCCCTGGGTCCCCCATCCGCCTGCCCTGGGCCCCCATCCGCCTGCCCTGGACCCCCCATCTGCCTGCCCTGGGCCCCCATCCGCCTGCCCTGGGCCCCCTGCATCCCGCCCACCTGCCCCTTCTCACCTGGTCCTGCCTCCAGCCCGTAGGTGCCATGACTCAGCAGCCCCAGGAGGGCTTCGAGGGCAGCGTGGAGGACGCCTGGGAGTGGATGAAGGCGGTGCAGGAGCGGCTGCAGATCAATGACAACACCCAGGGGCCCCGGGCCGCCCTGGAGGCCCGGCTGCGGGAGACCGAGGTAGGCAGAGGCCTGGCCTCGGCCCTGTGGCGGGGCCAGGGTCCCTCCAGCTCAGCCCCAGGTTTACGGGGACTGTCACGGGGTGGAGGGACTCGCCAATGTTCCCCAGACACCGATGTTCAGTCTCCCAGGGACTGGGGTTTAAGTGCAGATTCTGATCCCGGAGGGGGGCGGGCCCGGAAGGTGGCATTTCTGAGATGCTCCAGGGGACCCACTGCTTCCGCTCCTTGGGCCACTTTCAGGGTAAGGGTCCAGAGCCGCCCTCTGCCCTCCTGGCCTGGCAGGGGCACGCACAGCCAGGTGGGTCCCCAGCCCAGCTGGCCCAGCCCTGGCTCCCCTCCTCCCTGTGGCCAGGTCTGGGAGGGCCCAGGTAGGCCTTGGGGGGCCTGGGGAGGGGCTGTGCCCCATGAGAGTGACTCCTTTGGCTTCTCCCAGGCCTGGTCCCCCTGCCCCCATGCACCAAGCAGGGCTCAGGGCATATGGAGGTGCAGAGGGGGCGGGGTGAGAGGGTGGCAGCCTGGAATACCAGCCGAGGCCCTCGACCCTCTTCTGTAACAGAGGGGCAGTGGGTTGGAGGTTTGGAAGGTGGGGGACTGAGGGACAGGAGTTGGCAGCCCAGAGCCCCTTCCCTCCTCAGACGACAGCTCCTCATGATCGGATGATTATTCGCGGGGGCACTGGGAGCGGGGAGCTGAGGCTCATTCAACACCCACTGTGCTCACGGCCGCACTATCGGGGTTCGGGTTTCATTTCACAAAAACCTCGTGAGGGTGGTTTTATTGTCCGCACTTTTCAATAGTGAGACGCATTCCTAGACACAGTGACGGGCCCAAATCCGAGGCGTTGATCTGGTTGAGGCTTGAATCCAGGGCTGAGTGCGGACACCTGGGCAGGGGAGGTGGGCGAGGCAGGCCCTGTGCGCAGGTTCACAGTGTAACAGGGCACAGGTGTGCACATGGTCTGGGTGGCCACACAAGCACGAATGAGGAACATCCATCCGTAGCAAGGATCTGGTGATGTTATTCTCCTCCTCTACAACCATCCGTGGCTCCCCATTGCCCACTGAAGAAATACCAATGTCACCTGGAAAAGTCACTCACTGTCTGCACAGCCCTATTCTCCAGCCTCATGCCCTGCCCCCACCCCCACCCCCAAAACCCCACCTTCCAAGCACTGCCTCCTCCTGTTGGCAGAAAACCTCCTAAACTGCCGATCACTACACTTTGTCTGTGCTGCTGCCTCTACTTGGCACACCTTTGGTTTGGGTGCAGGTGTGGCTGTGAAATGAAACACGCTGCCCGAATCTCTCCTGACCCCCCCACTGCCCCCCGCCCCTGGGGTTCTGCCTGCAGACACCACCGTCTGGCGGTGCACGCGCTGTCTCGGGCCGGTCCCTTTGGAACCTGCATCCTTTGCAGCAGGTCATGACCTGGCTGGTGGTCTGGCCAGGGTGGTTCTTAGGAAGAGCCATTGGCGAGGCCAGGGTGAGTGGGCCCGGGAGGCCGAGGGAGCGCTTCCATCGGGGGTGGGGGGAGCCCAGAACCTGACCTGGAGCCTGGGAGTGGGGCCTCGCGTCCTGGGTGTGCCCTCGGGGCTCTCCCTCCAGCTCTCCCACGGGCTCAGGGACACTGATCTGCTATGTGCTTTGACATTTCAAAACCGACTTTGCAATAAAAAAAACACTCACTCCTGTGGTCTGGTGAAAGCGAGTGGCTGGTGCCTTCTTCGCCTCCGGGTCCGGGACCTCCCCCGGGCGTCTAGCGTCTCCTGGGGCCCCTCCACCAGCTCGGTGATGCCCAGCCCAGGGCCCGCCCGCTGGGTGGCCGGGAGGTGTGCGTCCATCCAGCTCTGAGGTGTGTGGCCGGGTTCTCCATCAGTGAAACGGGAGAACCGCTCGGCCCTCCTGTGCTGAGCTTCCAGGACCCGCATGGAGGTGAGGCGTCTGGGAGGGAGCCCGAGAGGCTGTTGGTCCCGGAAGCAGGACACAGAGGCTGAGAGCCTGAGTCTGGGGCCCAGGCCTGGGTTCGAGTCCCGGCTAAGGCGGTGGCACCCTGGGGAGTTTTCTGAGCTGCGGGCTTCGGCGTGCTCCCGGGAAGGGGTGAGGTGCTGCCTTGCAGGAGGGAGGAGGGTCGAGGGGAAGGATGCCTGGCGTGCCTGGCCCACCGAGGCGTTGTTTCTGTGGCTCTGGTGCAGGGGTTCAGGCACGCGGCCGTCCTGCCACCCCGGGCCTTGGGAGCAGCTCCTAGGTCTGCTTCCAGCCTCCTCGCCTGCACTTGGGCCTGCGCAGCCAGTGCCTCCCAGCCGGCCCCCGGGCCCTCTGGTCAGGGGGTGCCAGCATTTCCTGGGGCCTGGCTTCCCAAAGCCGGACGCTCTGTCCCTAAATGCTCTGTGCGTGCCCCTGCTGGCTTCACCTTCGTTCAAGCCCCATCTCAACCGTCTGCCCATCACGGAGGCTCCGTGCCAGTGCCGCCTGCGCAGGAGGCCCTCTTGGACCCCCCCCGCCCCCCCGCCCCAGTGGAGCTCCAACAATACATGGTGTCTCATGGCCCTTCTGCAGCCTCTGTGCTCCTGTCTGCAGACCGCCCCCCCCCCCAACAGCCTGTAGGCATCGCCATGTTTGTTCCTCCTGGACTCCAGTGCCCAGAGCAGTGCCCACAGCTGTACACAGCGCAGACCCCACAGCTGTACCCAGAGCAGTGCCCACAGCTGTACCCAGCGCAGTGCCCACAGCTGTACCCAGCGCAGTGCCCACAGCTGTACCCAGCACAGTGCCCACAGCTGTACACAGCGCAGACCCCACAGCTGTACCTAGTGCACTGCCCAGAGCTGTGCCCAGCGCAGTGCCCCAGTGAGGTAGACAAAGCAGGGATGGTTATCTCAGGGTGAGAAAGGGAGGCCCAGAGTGGTCGAGAGACCTGCCTGGGATCACACAGCTACCTGTGGGCCTCCTCCCCCACCGCACCCACAGGGAGGGTCAGAGACAGCCAGCCCCTGGGACATCAGCCTGTGAACGTGACTGCCAGCCCCCTTCATGCACACCAGCTGGGGAGGGGCGGGAGCTTTAGGTACATGCAGACACCGAGGTAAGGAGACAATGATCTCAGTGAGCAGTCAGCCCTGGCGAGTGCGCTGTGAGCCAGGCCAGTGCTGATGTGCTCCCCGTGGCTCTGCTCCCTGGAGCCCTGGGGCGGAGCCGCCATCTCCCAGGTCAAGGCCTGGAGCGAGGAGTACCAGGGAGTGGCCTTGGAATTGGACCAGGCTTTTGTTGCCAAAGAACTGGAATGATCACGGTTAATAGTGACAATAGCTAGCACGTTGTCTGTTAGTCCTCCGAGCAGCCCAAGCCCGGGTGAGATTACCTGCAGGATGTTCCTGGGGCCGGAGCCCGAGAGGCTGGGAGGGAGGAGGCCCGTCCAATGCAGGTCGGGCCCGAGTCCAGGGGAGGGGGGAGCGACTCAGACTGCCTTACCGTTCTGAGGGGGTTTGGCAAGGCCGTGGGTCATCCTGAACCAGACACCCCTCACTGGAGCCCGCTGTTCCCCAGGAACGGGCCAGCCTCAGCATTCCTGCCTGGTCCCTGGTGGGAGCAGCCGAGGGGCGAGGCCTTGGTGCAAACTCAGAGATGATTCTGGAGCCTTGGCTGGGGTCCTAGGTCAGCCCCGCTCCCCACATAGACTTGAGAAGCACAGCCTCACAGCCTCACACCGTGACAGGTACTTTGTCATTTAATTCTGAAAAGAGAATTTGAGAGCTAAGTACTCTGAACGTCCCCATTTTACAGATGGTAACACCAAGTCCAGGGAGATAATGAAACTTGTCTGAGTTCACACAGCAAGGAACGGGCCCTGCGAGGAAGGGCGGGAACTCAGGTCACCAGGCAGTTTGTCCTCCAGTGCTCACCTGCGAGAGACGCTCACCTGTCCGAACTCAAATAGCGGACCCGGAGCCATGACGTATGGCGAACTCGAGACCTTTAATGCGGTCTTGCAAGAGGGGTGTCTGGTTGAGCAGGCGCACTCAGAGCCGCCATCCAGGCTGTTTATCTCTACGGTGTGAGTCCCTGCCCCGGTTCCTGATTGGCTGAGTACTATGGGGTTAACAGTGCCCCCTCCCCCCATGTCGCCTCGGTCTTATTGTCCCTATTGGGTTATTCAAAAATATGGGCTGAGGCATTTTTTTTTTTTTTTTTTTAGTTGTCTCCACCTCCCTCTGTCTAGTCATGGCGGGCAGATCTTCCTGGACAATGTGCTGCTGGTCGTGTACACAGTTCTTCATTCTTATACCCTCTCCCCTCCTCCCCCTGCTATTTGCCCTGGGAAATTCAGTAACCATTTCCGTTACAAGCGGACTGCTTCCTACATAACCCTCGCTCCTGCGCCCACCCTCAGAGCCTCAGGCCGCCCCGGGCCCCGGAGAAGGTGGGGGGCCACTGCTCGAACCCCAGCACCTCCGGGCTCAGGGTCCAGGCTCCTCCATCACACGCCGGCTGTGGCTCTGCCCACTCGCACTCTGTCTAACCCCTGGAAACTGGCTTTTGTGCCCACGACAGAAAATATGCCAGCTGGAGCCGGAGGGGCGCGTGAAGGTGGACCTGGTGCTGCAGGCGGCCGAGGCGCGCCTGGCCGGCTGCCCCGAGGACCAGAAGCCCGCGGTCCTGGCGCGGCTAAGGGACATCAAGGCCCAGTGGGAGGAGACGGTCACCTACATGATTCACTGTCACAGGTAGGGCCGCCGGGGACCTGGCCGGGCTTTGTCTGCCGTTGCCCCTGACCCTGCTTGCCCACTGCCACCCTGGCCTGGCGCCCCCGCCCAGGGGACATTCCTTCAGTGCTGGGCTCGCTGGGAACCGGGCGTTCTCTTGGGATGTTAGCCAGTCCTGCCTGCCTCGTTCTAATTATATTCAAGCTTAACGATGAGAATAGACAGTGGGAGCCCAGCTTGTTTAGCCAACAATTAATTCTGGTTTGACTTGTCATGTGCCCATCGCCAGCAGAACGGGAATGGCCCCAAATGGGAGAATGGCCCCGGAGGAGGGAGGGAGGCTGTCTCCTGCTAGCCTTTTAGCCCAGCTTCTCAGCCTGTGGGGAGCCAGGCAGGAGCCGGATGGGGGTTGGACAGAGGGGGGCCTCCCACTCTGGCGGCTACTTGCTGTATGGCCTCGGGAAAGTTACTTGACTTCTCTGAGCCTCAGGCTTCTCATCTAGACAATGGGTATAATCAGATGTTCCTTGAAGGCTGTCAGGAGGATGGAAGGGGGAGCTAGCCAATGCCAAGAGCAAGGCACGCAGTAGGCCCTCAGCAAACGGGTGCTCCACCGTTTTTTTTGTTTAATATATTTTTATTGATTTCAGAGAGGAAGGGAGAGGGAGAGAGAGATAGAAACATCAATGATGAGAGAGAATCATTGATCAGCTGCCTCCTGCAGGCCTCACACTGGGGATTGAGCCCACAACCCGGGCATGTGCCCTGACTGGGAATCGAACTGTGACCTCCTGGTTCACAGGTCGACGCTCAGCCCCTGAGCCACGCCGGCCGGCACCATCTTAAAACCAGGATGCTGCATGAGCTGGGGGACCTTTCACTTTTGCTTTTCAACCCTTGACACTTGGAATTCCCAAGTGGCTCGCTGTGACCGGACAGACGGGGCCACATCCATGTTACAGATGGGGAAACTGAGGCGAGTGAGGAGGCAGGGCTGTGCAGCAAGTTTATGGCGTCCCTGGAGCCCACACGCAGGCCCTCAACTTCTGTCCTCACTGTGGGGTGACAAGCCCACAAATACTACTGGACCCTGCAAATTATCAGACACACTCCCGGCGGCATTTTGGTGTCTGTTAGTGGGGGTTTAGGGCTGGAATTTGGGGTGCTGGCAGCTAAGGCTCCATAAGCCGCATTAGCAAGGCTGTGGGTCTCAGAGCAGATCCGGAATTGAGCCACCCTGACCCTTGGCCCCTTGGAGCTTACTCAGCAGACACAGGGTCCTGTCCAGCAGGACTGAACGGAGGCCCGGAATCCGAGTGTCTGCGAGCTGCCCAGGTGGCGCTGAGGCCCCAAGAGGGCGTCCTCCTGTCCCCCCCGCCCCCCAGCCCCTCGTGCTCAGAGCCAGGTGAGCGGCTGGTCACGGCCCGTGTCTCTGTGCCCACAGCCGCATCGAGTGGGTGTGGCTGCACTGGAGCGAGTACCTCCTGGCCCGAGACGAGTTCTACCGCTGGTTCCAGAAGATGACGGTGACGCTGGCGCCGCCCGTGGAGCTGCAGCTGGGCCTGAAGGAGAAGCAGTGGCAGCTGGGCCAGGCCCAGGTGCTGCTGCAGGACGTGAGCCACCAGGCCGTGCTCCTGGACCGGCTGCTGGAGGAGGCGGCCTCCCTGTTCCACAGGATCGGGGACCCCAGCGTGGACGAGGACGCCCAGAGGACGATGAAGGCCGAGTACGAGGCCGTGAAGGCTAGAGCCCAGGTGGGGGAGCCGTGGGCTGTCTACCCTCCCGCCATTTTCCCATCTCGTCCACCCCACCATTTGCTAAGTGACCATCCGGCCACCCATCGACTCCCCACTACTCCCCACCCACCAGCACCCACCCACCAGCATTCATCCATCTCTCCACCTCCCTGCCCACTCGCCCACTTATGTCCCCACTGCACTGCCAAATCTCCCTTTCACTGTCCCCCATTCACTGCCTCATTCCTCCACGTACCTGCCCAGCCATCTATGCAAGTACCCACCCTCCCATCCATCTCTTTTCTCACTGCTCACCACCAACCTAATCTCCTATTCGTCTTGACAACTACTTACTCCCCCTCCCAGCCAGCTGCCTACTCATTCACCTACTCATCAACCCGCCCACCTCTTCACCCACCCACTCACCCATCCATCTCTCCACTATGACTACCCACCACTGTTGACCCCTTCACCCACCTGCCTACTCACTCACTACCTGTCACCCATCTGCTCATCTACCCACTCACTACCTAACTACCCACCCGCCAATCTTCTGTCTACCCATCCAACTATCCCTCCACCACCCACCCACCCATCGACCCATTATCTCCCATCCGTACACCCAGTGTCACTCCGTGCTGCATACACACGTGGTGCTTGATGTGTGTGGTTGACCTACTGACTGATGGTTCATAGGCCGACGCTCAACCACTGAGCCACACCGGCCGGGCTGGAGGGAGATTCTTGATGAGGACGCCTGGCCCTGCGGGGGTGGGGGTGGGGGTGAGCAGGAGCACTGTCCTCAGTGAGGAGAGAGCAGGCTGGTACCCAGTGGGGTCTTGCGTGTTTATTTCGCTGAGGGGTTTTAGTCGGGCGGTTCCGTTTCCTGAAGGGCCAGGGCCATGGCGGGGTCCCCTTCCCCTGCTTCCTGCCTCACAGGGGCGTTCGTCCGGCATCTGGGCAGGAATCACATCGTCCGCCAGCCCGTGCCCAGCTGCGTCCACGCCGCCCTGGTTGGCTGGTTGGGTTTCGACATCCTGACAACTCTGCCGGCGCAGGTGGCTTCGCTGTTTGGTCTAACGAGCGAAGGTTGCGCACTCTCCCATTTGTCACCCTGTCATCCTCCCCCGTGGCGGCCGGCGGCGGCTGAACCGTGCGCTCTGCTCGCGCTGCCTGGCACGGAGCTCGTCTGGATGGCTGCCCTGCTTGGCCGCGGTCCTGTCCGGGGCCTCTCCCCGAGGCTTTATTTACTCTGTCCCGGGTGCCAGCACCTCATCTCTCACACACACACACACACACACACGCGCGCGCCAGCCAGCCGCACGCTCATTGGAGAAGTTGCCTCATTACAGCATCTGTAACCGGCAGAGCCGACCCGCACTGACCCCCTGCGCATTCTTCCCGACCTACTTTGTCTCATAAACGAGCCTTTCCTGCAGGAGGAGGAAGCCTGGATGCAGGCAGATGGCCGTGAAGGGGCAGCCGGCAGGGCAGCGAGAAGGAGCGGCTGTCCCTAGTCCCCTTTGGGGTTTGAGCGGCGTGTTCCCGTCTGCGCGTGAGCTGTTGACGCTGCGAGCCTCGCTTCCCTTAGAGGGTTCTCAGCTCTTCGCTGAAGGCTTGGCCCTGTGCCTTGGTTTCCCCGTCTCTAAAATGGGGGCATTTTCTCCTTGCAACAGTGGTAGCGAAGGTTTGAATGAATGGATCAGTGTTTCTGCATTTGGCAAGGAGCCTCCCAAGCCGGGTGCAACAGCAGGAAAGCGTTTGAGTCTGTCTGTCCACACTTCCCAGCTGAGAACTTCTGACTTTGATCCGTACCTGCTGCTGGGCACGGCCGGCCCCCTGGCCGAGAGCTCAGCTTGGCAAACCTCGGCCCTCGGGCCGGATCCTGCCCGCCTCTTGATTTCTCCTGGCCTGTGAGCGAAAAGTGATTTTTACATTTTTTAAGATATATTTTATTGATTTTTTACAGAGAGGAAGGGAGAGGGATAGAGTTAGAAACATCAATGAGAGAGAAACATCGATCAGCTGCCTCCTGCACACCCCCTACTGGGGATGTGCCCGCAACCAAGGTACATGCCCTTGACCGGAATCGAACCCGGGACCTTTCAGTCCGCAGGCTGATGCTCTATCCACTGAGCCAAACCGGTTAGGGCGGTTTTTACATTTTTGAATGATTGCGGGGAAAATAAAAAAACAGAATATTCCATGACATGTATAAATATGAAGTAAAAATTTTGGCTTTACCAGAAGACACCCCGCCTTGTGTGGTGCCTGGGGCTGCTCGTCTGAGCTGCTAGGGCAGGAGAGGCGCCTGGGAGGTGGAGTAGCTGCGACAGAAACCACGGGGCGGTGAAGCAAACCGCCTGCCGTTGGCCAACCCCTGGTCTAGAGCTGTGACGGGGAGCCCGACACGGGCCCTGTGAGTCCTGGCTCCAAGGCCCTGCCCGAGCCGGGTGACCTCGCAGCTGGACATTGGCGTGATGGCGGGTTTGGTGGTTGTGGTGAAGGTTATGCTTGCCCAGGCCGGTCGGCGCTCAGGTGCTTTTAACTGCTTATGAAACGGAAACCCCCTCGTTCCCCCGTGGAAAACCCCGCTGCAGGCACGCCCCCTGCACTCTTCCTGCCGCTCGGAAGCTTTCACATGGCTGCCCTGAGCTGCCCCCGGGGCTAACCCAACGAGGGCAGCCTGTCTGGGGGGGCCTCGGTCCCCCAGCAGGAGCCACAGCAGGGAAGGCTGTTCACTGAGCCCGGGCAGCGGGCGATTCTTCAGAGAAGGGGGGCTGCAGGGTAGCCCCGCAAAGCAGTGCTCCGTCACTTCGCGCTCGTGGCTGCCGGTGCTGCTCGCGGGAGCTGCGGCTCTGACATTCAGTCCACGGCTCCCCAGTGAGGCAGGTACTGTTAACACACCACATGGATGGGGAGGCCCGAGGCGGGCCAGGGTTCCAGTCGCAGGCAGTGGGCTCTCCAGTCCAGGGTCTGGACCGCATCTGCCCTTGACCTCCAGGCTGTGGCACTTGGACCTGAGCCTGGGGGCAGGAGGGAGCCAGGGAGGGGTTTAAAGAGATGGTGCCGTGATCAGGGGTGTGTTTTGGAAAAACCGAGTTCCTAGGCGCACAGTAGGTCTTCTGTCAGGAACACGGTTATTTCCCCCAAGGTCAGCCCCCCTCAGACGACCATCTTGTCCCCGTGTTGGTTAGAACGTCAGTGGGACTGTCAGAAGGTAGAGCTGCCCTCCCGCCCTCAGAGGAAACGGGGCACACGCCATCGTCACGGGCAGAACCCCCAGGACCAGCCTTACCCCTGGGCTTGCCTCTCAGTGCTTTCCCGGCAGGCGATGACCTGGGACAGCCTTTCACCTCTCTGGGCCTCAGTTTCCCTGTCGGTCGGACTGGGTTAGCAATACTGCCGGGATGGGTGGCTGGGAGGGTGCGGGGAGCTGATACTGTCCGTGCCGCTCCTGGAGCAGCTCTGGCGCCGCGGGGGCGTCGGGTGAGTGTCGGGGCAGCAGGTGCTGTTGCCAGGCCCCGACTGAGTGCTGTTCCCAGGACAGGCCCAGCCCCGAATGCTTGGGTCTAAGAAGATGAGAAGAAAGGGCCCGGCCGGTGTGGCTCAGTGGTTGAGTGTTGACCTCTGAACCAGGAGGTCACGGTTAGATTCCCAGTCAGGGCACATGTCCGGGTTGTGAGCTCAATCCCCAGTGTGGGTGTGCAGAAGGGAGCCGATCAATGATTCTCTCTCATCATTGATGTTTCTCTCCCTCTCCCTTCCTCTCTGAGATCAATAAAAATATATTTTAAAAAAAAGATAGAGAAGGGTGCCTGGGACTTCTTTATTTCCAGCAAAAGGGCTGAAATATCCCAGAATCCCAGACCCCCTACATGCACGCGCGCACACACATGCACACACATGCACATGCACACACACACACGCAGGCCCCAAGGCCAGGCGGCCAGGCTTCCCTCATGGTGGTCCTCTCCCCTCCCCAGGAACGAGTGGACCTGCTGGAGCAGGTGACCCAGGAGCACGAGCGCTTCCAGGCGGACATGGACGAGCTGCAGCTGTGGCTGCAGGTGGTGGTGGCGAAGATGAATGGCTGCGTGGGGCGGAGCTGCTCACTGCCCGCCGGCCGCCGGCTCTCGGCACTGCAGGTAACCGGGCTGTGTCCACCGAGGGCCGCCGGGGAGCCCGCACAGGTTCGCGTTTATGTCACGGGGAGCCGGGGCCAAGGGAGGTGCAGACCTCCACGCCCACAGGTCCCACGCGAGGAGAAGCGTGGAATCTGGTGGCGAATGTGTGGGGCCTCGGCCGCCTCATGGAAACCCCTGAGCCAGCAGGGCATTTGGAAGCCCAGGGCCACGGCAGCGTGGTCTAGACCAGGGGTCTCGCACGGGGGCCTGTCAGGGTAGCCCAGGTGGATACAACTCGGATTCGTGTCAGTAGGGCATTGAATAAATGTAATAGCACATATATATACACTAGAGGCCCGGCGCACAAAATTCACGTGTGGGTATGGTCCTTAGACCTGGCCAGTGATCAGGGCCATCTTCCCTGGCAGCTGGCCCCACCCCCCACCGCCTGCTCTCCACCCCACCCCCCCGCCCCCAGTTCCCCGTTTGCCATTGGGCAATTGGAGCCTACTGGCTGGGGGAGGGACCAAGAGGTGGTCAGTGAGCCTCATAGCAACTGGTGGAGCGGTCGTTCTGGTTATTTGTCAATTTGCATATTACGTATATATATATATGGAGGAATATTACAATTAGAAGGCATGAAGTACTGAGATACAGCAGAATCTGAAAAAGCATTATGCTGAGTGAAAGAAGCCAGTTCCAACAGATAACATCTCCTATGATTTCAAATAAGTTCTAGAATCTTCCAGGATGTTGGAGATGCTGTATGTCTTGATAACAAGGTGGACTACATGAGCATGTATACTTCTCAAAACTCTGAACAGTGACACCTAAGGCCTGTAGACTTCATTTGAAAGGCAATTTCAAATAAGATAGATTTAAAGGTGTTTATAGAACAAGTTTTTAAAAATTAAAAGCCAATGACCATTTATTTTAAAAAAGAAACTTGATTGCAACCACATGGGGTCGTGGGGTTCTGCCTGGCCCCACGCGGCTGCGGCCAAAGGCTCTGCTGAGCCGGCTCTGCCTGTTAGAAAGGCAGACTAGCCAATGTCCTGGGTGTTAAAGACGGGGCCCCGAGACGAAGTGCTCCTGGGCTTTGAGGTGCCTGGGAAGGAGGTGTGCGTCAAGGCACCTGGGGCAGACAGCCCCCCGTGGACCGGCGCCGCCGGCTCTCACCGGGCTCTGGGCCTCAGTGGCTGTCTCTCCTCCCGCGCCCCCCCCCCCAGGACATCGCCAAGGACGTCCCCAGGGGCGAGGAGTCTCTGAGGCGGCTGGAGGCGCAGGCGGTGGGGGTCATCCGGAACACCTCTCCGCTGGGTGCGGAGAAGATCACCCGAGAACTGGAGGAGACGCGGAGCGTCCTGGAGAAGCTCTGTGGCCTCCGTGAGGAGGAGGAGGGGCGGCTGCGGGGGCTGCTGGAGTCCACGGGCGCCTTTGAGCAGCAGAGGGCACAGCTGGAGGCCGAGCTGGGAGAGTTCCGGAAGGGCCTGCGGCGGCTGGCGGAGGAGGGCCTGCACCCCGCGGCGAAGGCGGGCACCGAGGACGAGCTGGTGGCCCGCTGGAGACTCTACTCGGTAAGCCACGCGGTCCAGGCGGCTTGGGGTGTCGCCCCTTGGAGCTCACCCTCGCGGTGGGAGGATCATGGTGAGCCCTAAACACACTCCGCTTCTCCTGGATCTTGGGGTGTTACCCCAAGTTGGGTGTTTGCACCCATTTGCCAGGAGAGGAGACTGAGGCCTGGAGGGATTTTTTTGTCCCCACCACCCTAGGGTCCCATGATGAGTCAGCGGGTAACTAAGACCAGAGGCGCATTGTCTCCGGGTCGCACGTCCCTGCCTGGAGGTGGATGTGGGTGGGCCTCCTGAGCACGGAGCAGAGCGTTAGGTCAGAGAGAAAGCTCCGAGTTAGAGATGGTGACCAACCCACAGGGGGTCTGGGAGACGAGCAGACATGCCCACCTGGGGAGGGTGGGGTGGGTTCCAACTTAGACCTGATGTCCAATCAGAGTGCCCCCCCCCACCCCTGCACAGGAGGCCTGACTGTGGACAGAGAGATTTTTAAAATAAAGGTAAACACCTCCCCATTCCTGTCGTTAATATTAACTCAACAGGTTCGCTCAGCGTCCTGACCCCTGTCCACTCCCCACTGTCCTGTGTCCTCCCTCTAATGCTCGCCCATAGGCAGAGCTATGCTCCTGGGGGTAGGCACGAGGCACACGTCCTCGAGGGCCCACTCCCCCTCATCTAAACCCCGTGCCCTGCGATGGTCAACTACGTGCACAGGGAGTTGTCTCCGTTAGCACTGGCCGCCTGGCCCCAGGTGGAGGGGCGGTCAGTGGTTAGGGGCGGGGGCTTTGGGATCACACTGCTGGGTTCAAGCACTGGTTCCTCTCCTTGCCAACGAGATGCCTTCGGGAGAAGGACTTTCATCTCAAAGGCGGAACGGGGGTGCTGGTAACAGCCCTCCCCCACGGTTCCTTACGCACTCCGGAAAACAGGACGTGCTTAGAGCCCTGGCCGGTGTGTCTCAGTGGATAGAGCACCGGCCTGGGGAATGCAGGGTCCTGGGTTCGATTCCGGTCAAGGGCACGTACCTTGGTTGCAGGCTCCTCCCTGGCCCGGGCCCTGGTCAGGGCTCATGCAGGAGGCAACCAATCAATGTCTTTCTCTCACATCGATGCTTCTCTCTGTCTTTCCCTCTCTCTTCCACTCTCCCTTAAAAAAAAAATCAATGGAAAAATATCCTCGGGTGAGGATTAACAAAAAAATAAAGCTCTTAGACGAGGTTCCTTGCATATGAAATGGGGACACAGAGACTTGCCCTCCAGAATCCGTGAGAGGCTCAAATGAACGAGGCGCCCAGAGCACGCAGCACGGCATCAGTGCTCCTCGGGATTGGCACCTGTGCTGTTAGGTGCTGGCGTTTGTGACAACGCTGGGGACCGGTGATATCATGAGAAAGACCAGCTTGGCCAGAGGCGCGGTGGGGAGGTGGGGGAGCAGTTTCCCCCGGGCCCACTCCCACCAGCCATGCTCATCGCCCTGAGCACACACCCTGTCCCGTCCCGGAACTCACCACCCCCTTGGGGGGCATTTGTGCCGCAGGCGACACGGGCAGCGCTGGCCACAGAGGAGCCCCGGGTGGACCGGCTGCAGGCCCAGCTGAGGGAGCTCATCGCCTTCCCCCACGACCTGCAGCAGCTCCCTGACAGCGTCGTCGAGGCCATCCAGGAGTTCCAGAGGTGTGGGGGCTGTGGGGGCTCTGGGGGCCGAGGGCGGGGATGGGGGCCCCGGGGGCGGGGCTCGGGGCCCTCTCGCCCCATCTAAGGCCGCCTCCAGGAGGCCGGCTGCTTTCTCTTGCAACCTGGTAACGTGCGTACTTCTCGCACCTCTCAGCGCCGGGCCGTCCAGGGTGTAAGCCTGCTCTGTTTAGTCATGGTCCCTTTTTATTAAATAAATATATTTTATTGATTTCAGAGAGGAAGGGAGAGGGAGAGAGAGAAACATCAATAATGACAGAGAATCATTGATCGGCGGCCTCCTGCACACCCCCTACTGGGGATCGAGCCTGCAACCCGGACATGTGCCCTGACCAGGAATCAAGGCGTGAACTCCGGTTCATAGGTGGACACTTAGCCACGGAGCCAGGCCGGTCACTGTCCCTTTGGGTAGTATTTTACATTCACTCCAAAAAGAGAGCCTGGCGCTGGCTTCCTCCGTGCGAAGTGGCTCGTTCGCCACCTCCATCCCGTCTCCCCTGTGCAGTTACACTGGCGCTGGGGCCACCGGGCAGTGGCCGAGGGGGGGGGCTGCGAGTCTGTGCGAGGGCTGCCTTGTTTCGAGGGCACTGTTATCCAGAGGGCAAGGCCTCGGCGGTGCAGACGCCCCAGCAGCCGGTGCCATAGGAGAGGGACCGCCCGGGGAGCAGCCCAGGGAGCAAGGCAGGCCGGGCTCCCTGGGGTCGGGGCGGAGCGCACTCCTGGACTGACCGTCTCTCCTGCCCGGCTTCTCCCCGCCTCGGCCCTCGCAGCATGAAAGGGCAGAGCGCCCGGCTGCGCAATGCCGCGGGCGTGGAGCTGTGGCGGCGTTTCCAGCGGCCTCTGCAGGACCTGCAGCTGTGGCGGGAGCTGGCCCAGCGGCTCCTGGACGTCACGGCCAGCCTGCCCGACCTGCCCTCCATCCACACCTTCCTGCCGCAGATCGAGGTAAGAGGGAGGGCTGGCCATGAGGCCGGCGGCCACCAGCCAAGCGCGGCACCTGTCACCCTCGCAGGGTGGGCATGTTGCCGGGCCCTCTGACATCTTGGCGGAGCTCACTGCCCCGGGTCTGGCACAGGAGTCCCGTGTGCCCAGGACATATCAACACGGGAGACAAAGGTCCTGTTCAGAGGCAGATCTGGTGCCTGGGTGACCCTCTTCTACCTGCTACCTCCGCCCAGACCCCCCTCCCAGGAAGGCCACAGTCTGAGGTGGGGGAGGGTTGGACTTCTCCAAACCTTTGGGGGCGGACACAGTTCAACCCAGGGCCGCCAGTTAAATGCTGCAGCTGAGAAGGGCTGACTTTCCTTGTGTGTCCGCAGTGGGTCCTGCACGCTAAGGGCTCCATAAGCATCGTCTCGTTGAGGCCTCAGGACAACCCCACGAGCTGGGGTGTGAGCACCCCTACTTTACAGACGAGGAGACTGAGGCTCAGAACTGCCCCAGGCCTCCCAGCTAGGATATAGTCCAGTTCATGGTCACAGCTCCCCAGCCTGCATGCTGAACCCCGTGCTGTTATGTCTGGGTTTGGTGAAAAGGGGGTGCAGGTGACCCCTACCTCCCGAGGCCTGACCTCTGGGTGGTCGATCACAAAGCGCATGCCCTCATCTGCAGGATATGCACGCGTGTTTACGTGTCAGCCGTGTTTATGCTGCTCTCCCTCCAGAGACTCCCGTAGCCCTTCCAGGGAGGTTGTGAGTACTGCCTCCTCTGAGGAGCCTTCCAGGATTTCCCCACCCAGGAAATCCACTTCTGCCCCGAACACCCACTCGGTTGAAGCTTTAGGAAAACACTCACTGTCAGCCTGGCTTGCAATTACCTGCCTGGGTTGGTCTTTGCTCTCCCTGTCCCAGCCCTGTGCCTCGCTCAGTGTCTCAGTAACATCATCACGTAAAAATGGAAGGACGCTGGCCTGCTGACAACAAGGCCCCTGGCCTCTAGGACCCTGGGCCGTACCCCAAACAACTGGCTAGTCAGCAGGAGCCTGAGGCTTGGCAAGGGCTTAGGGACAGGAAGAGTGAGTGTAGCTGGGAATGTGGTCAGGGCAGGCTTCCTGGAGGAGGAGGCTGGGCAGAGGTCAGGCTGTGTGGGAGCAGCTGCCCATTACAAGGAGGCCTCTGAGTCCCATTAGGTCCTCTCTGCCTGGTGAGCTCCTATGTATCAGGACTCCATTCAGGTGCCACCTCCTCTGGGGAGCCGTCCTGGATTCCCCCTGGTTGTGCTCCCATAGGCCCTTAGCCCCCTCAGAATGTCCTCCAGACCACCTGGGGGTGGCCCACTGCTGTTGGTGAAGGAATCACTGGGTAGAGGATCAGACTGGTTTGGTTGGGTTTGGCTGCAGTGAGGACAGTGGCAGTGGGAATGGAGTGACAGATTTCCAAGACATGCAGGTCGGGCGACAGCTTACTCTATGTTACAAACTAGAGGTCTGGTGCATGAAATTTGTGCACTGGGGGTGGGGTTCCCTCAGCCCAGCCTGTGCCCTCTCACAGTCCGGGAGCCCCGCGATGGATTGCCCCAAAGAGGTAGGCCCTGCCCACCTGGCTGGGGCTCCGTGCTGGGCCTCCCTCTTTGGGGCAATCGTGGAGCCCCCTAATTGATCGATCGCCCTGCTGGCTGGTGGCCCGGGCCTCCCTCTGCAGGGCAATCATGGGGCGATGGCCAGGCCCCCGACCAATCGCATCGCACCCGCCTTGGCTGGCCTGGCACCAGTGGGTGTCAGAGTGAAGTCCAGATGGACGTTCCACTGTTCGGCATTGGGTCGATCTGCATGTTACGCTTTTATTATTCTAATACTTGCTGAGCATCTGCTGATGAGGGTGCTCAGCTTTGATAATAAGATGGGTGTGTGGGGTGAGAGGAATCCAGTTGACCCTGAAATTCAGGCCTCCCTCACGCATTCCTGCCGGCCTGTTTCTTAGGTTTGCTGCTGCCTCAGAGCCTGGGCAGTCGCAGCAAACAGGTGCGCTCCCGG